TCTCTTTTTTTTTTTTTTTTTTTTTTGGGGGGGGGGGGGGGGGGGGGGGGGGGCTAATTTGCAGACCCTTTTGCTTGTTGTTTGGGTAAACTTTGATGTTTATCTAAAATTTGGTGTTATTTTTAGTAAAGATTTGATTTTTATTATGTTTTCTGGGTCAATTTGTGAAGTAATAGATTTATGTGCGTGTAGGCTTTGAAAAAATTTGGAACTTTTTTTCATCAGAGTGTGATTGAGAGTTGGATAGTTTTATGAATTGTTCATGATTGATTGGTGAATTGTGCTTGAGTGATTAAATTGTTTTGTTGGCAATGGAAATGAAGGAATGGAGAGTGACGATGAGATCAGAAGAGTGCCGGAGATGGGCGGAGAAGGCGCCGCCGCCCCAGCGGCTTCCGGTCGTGATGGCGTCTCCGCCGCCGGTACGGCTCAGCCGTCTGGCGCCGCTCAAAAGAAGAGAGGTCCTAGCCCAGCTGACAAAGAGAACAAGAGGTTAAAAAGGTGAAAACCCCATATTTCTTTAGTCTAATTCATCAATAGGATTATGCCACGTAAGCATTTGACCTCTCAATGCCATGCCGTTCACATGGAATGAGCATGGCAACGGTCAACGAACATGGGGAACTTTGGCTTGTTCTTGCCCTTGCCCACAAAACGCGGGCCCCACACCCCGTGATCACGAACTCAGCCGCCCATCAGGTGAGAGGACTAGATTCTAAGTGTTTCCACCGGCCACCACATTCGGTGTGATTCCCACACTATCGCTAGGGATCCTCACAATTTTACACTCAAGAATCAACTAAGTTACCCGTGTTATGGCTTGTTACATAGTTTGGAACTTGCCTTGTTCTTGCCCTTGCCCACAAAAGGTGGGGCCCCACACCCCGTGATTACAGACTCAACGGCCCATTAGGTGAGAGGACCAGATTCTTTGTACCCACCAGAGCCAACCACATTGGGTGTGACTCACACTACCGTTGCTAGGGTTCCCCACAATCTGACAACCAAGAATCAACTAAGTTACCCGTGCTTTGGTAATTTTGTGTTTTCTTGATGGTTAAGGTTGTTGAGGAATAGAGTTTCGGCACAGCAAGCAAGGGAGAGGAAGAAGGCATACTTGACGGACTTGGAGGCAAGGGTGAAAGAGTTGGAAACAAAGAATGCCGAACTTGAAGAGAGGCTTTCCACGTTGCAAAATGAGAACCAGATGCTAAGACATGTATGTAATGTTAAGCTTATGCCTGCCTGCTTCCTGTTATGTCTTAATTACGTGCCTTACTTGAAATCCATGGTTTGTTTAATTCACCCCACAGTCCCACGTGCACACCGCCAATTATATGTGCCTCATTTGCACTCCATGGTTCATGTCGCATGATTTAGATTATTGGTTCAAATGGAGTTGTGTGGTGAAATCCTAAACTGAAGCATGTGTTCCATCTCAACTAAGCTGGGGTGGGCTCTGATACTTAACTGAAGGGCATGTGTTTTATTTCAACTAAAAGTCTAAGTTATAGTTGGATTGATATATTATATGCTCAACATCCTAGTCATTAAGGAAGGAGTTCAGTGGCTGAGATTTCACATGGTCCCATAGGGATTTGACATTCTCATTGTAGAATCTTAGATATGAGTTTTGAGAGGGTTACTATTGGAGAAAAAGAGATATCCTAATTCCTAAGTAAAGCATTGAACATATGCTGCTAAAAACATCTGCCAACAACTTGGTGTATAGTCAGTAAGGTGTCATTTTGACGTGTCAAGAAATTAATGCCATAACTCGTAGGGCCTTAAATGATTAGGTTTGTGCTGTCAAGTGTCATGACCTGATGGCCTCTATCTGGTTAATGAAATATCAACATGCCCCTTTGTCCATTAGTTGGATTTGGAAGGTAGGAAAGATAGAAAACGAAATTGAATGTGGTCCTCTCATCCTTCCTGCTGTTTTGTTTTGCTCTAGTTACTGCAGTTTTTACTCTTTGTAAAATATACAAAATGTGCATAAAGTGAGAAGATTTTGACATCCCATTGTGAGTTTTTGTTTCTAAGTTATGCCTTCTATGATCGGGTAGCACAGAGATTCGAACCCATAGCCTTTTGTATGAGGTTGGCTCTGATACCAAATTGAAACACATGCTCAATGTCAACTAAAAAACGACTGAGCTGATAGTTGGATTGCACATTTATGTTTATATATATTATATTATATGCTCAACACAGCTGAACCCATTGTTCCAAATTGCAGATTTTGAAGAACACTACTGCTGGCAGTCAAGAAGCAAGAAGATAGCTTTACAGTTGTGACACTATGAATGATAGCATAGATATAATGTATTTGTTTTGTACACATATCTACAGTAGAGTAGAGAGCTCTGATCTTTAGCAGAGGTTACAAATTCTCCCCAAAATTCCACCTTTTTTGTTTTCCCTCAACCTTGTATGGGGCATTTCTTCTGGTCTCAAAATTGTATCAGCTTCAGCTTAGAAGCACTGTCAATACAAGTCATTGAGTCACTCAATTGTTATTTGCAGCTTGAGTCCGGTACGAGCTTAGCACATTGGTTCAGTAGGCAGTATTTGGGAGGAGAAGAAGATATTTGCAACTTGATGATGAGCTTCAGCTAACAGAATATTTATACTTTAAATTTTCTCTTATTTTTTGGCAAAGTGAGAAGAATAATGGGTTCAGTATGGCATTAGTTTTTATGTTATTGTAAAATGTTTAATTTAGTCAATACAATTTAAGTTTTGTATTATTTGCTAGGTAATTTGTAGCTCAATGACATTTTTGTAGCTCTCCTAAATAGAAAGTTATAAGTTTGAACCTCAAAGTTTCAATATCTTCCAAATAGTATTTTGACTTAATATATACAAAAGAAAAAATTACTTAATAAAGCCAAATTTAATCTACTGAAGTAAAATAAATACTTCATTCTAATAACTTAACTTTCACAATTTTTATTTTACTTTGTTTTACTTGAAAGTTAATATAAAAAAAAAAAGTTAGAAAGTAATCTTTGTAATTTACTATAATATAAAGACTCACTAAGGGTTGCATGCCCTTCAAATGTGTCCATTGTAAATTCTTGCAACCTTAGAAAGTCATTATAATTTTATTAAAATATATCATTTTAATAGTATTTAAAAGCCTACAAAAGTTGAAATATTTATGTAAATTTTGATAAAAACATACTATTGGATAATGAATTTTTGAAAAAAAATAATCTTTGTGGAACTTAAAGAGCGTGTGTACAAACAAATTTTGTGGGGTAGGGTTTACTCTCAAAAGCAAATCACAATTCTTGAAATAGCTGTATTTCTCTCCTTACTTTTCATGTGATATGTGTAAATGTAATTATTGCGAAAATTGGACTAGGCGGCTGCCTAGGTGCTAGGTGCCCCAAGACTAAGACGAATTACTCCCTAAGCGGCTGGTTGTCTAGGCACCCAACTCGGACGAGTTAGCGCTGAACTCGGTCGAATTAGTCGAGTTAACTAGGCCGAGTTAACTTTGCTAATTCTTTTTAATTTTATATAGTAGCTGCCTAAGCAGTTTTGGTGCTCGGTGCTATTCTACTGCACTGACTAGCGCCTACTGCAATCATGATAAATATATAATCATTTCCTGAAAGTAAGTTAATAACATATTATGCCAAGTAACTTGTAAATTAATGACACTTCCGTAACTCTCCCAGATGAGAGACCACAATTTCAAATACCAGTTGGACATTGGCTCTTATGCTTATTATATTATAATAAAATAGAGTCATTAGTTTTTTTTTTTAAAAAAAAAATCAGAATTTAGTGGTGATGCCCTTAACATATATTTGAGAAAAGTTTTCTCCTCCAAATTTATGTAAGTGTTTGGTTAATTAGCTTTTTACAACTCTAAAATGCTAAAATTTAAAAAGCTACTCCAAGCAACTTTTTCAATTAGCTTTTTTATAAAAGAAATTATACCAAACAGCTATCAGCTAACAGTTAATTTATAAAAATGCTTTTATACAACAGCTAATGTTATCAACTAGTTATACCCTCTAATTAAGACAATCAGCTAACAGCTAACAGTTTTCAGTTAACAGTCATTTACCAAACGGAACCACACTGTGTAGTCAATGACCTTGTGGTCTAGTGATACGAAGTGAGTGTCCTAAATAGGAGGGAGGTCCTGGGTTCAATTAACTCTCCTAAATGAGATGGGCGTCATGGATTCGATTCCTACCCGTGACTCTTTGTAAAAAAAAAAAAAAGACAAATATTGTCTGTAGCAATTAGAGTTTTTTGCGCTTTTAGTCCCACGACTATAGTGGTACTGGCAGAATTGATCCACGACTTTTGAACCTTGCAATTTTAGTCCACGACTATTGATTTTTTTGCAAAAATGGTCCTTCCGGCCATTTTTCCGTCAAAATTTCACCGGAAAAAAAAATTCTTCATTTTTAGCCGGGTTAAAATTGACATTTTACTTATCTCAAAAAATTAAAAGAAAAAAATTGATATTTGACTACATACAATATTACTGGGCTACATACTACTGCCCAGGCAGCGGAGTTCCTGGAGCAGGCAGGGCTGTCAGTAAGCGGCGGAGCGGCCGTGGCGTTCTCCGGGCTAGTTGGGTTATCCTGCAGCAGCATTGGAGTGGTACATGTACTCCGCTGCCTGTGGCAGTAGTATGTATCCCAGTAATATTGTATGTAGTCAAATATCAATTTTTTTCTTTTAATTTTTTGAGATAAGTAAAATGTCAATTTTAACCCGACTAAAAATAGAGATTTTTTTTCCGGTGAAATTTTGACGAAAATATGGCCGGAAGGACCATTTTTGCAAAAAAATCAATAGTCGTGGACTAAAATTGTAAGGTTCAAAAGTCGTGGATCAATTCTGCCAGTACCACTATAGTCGTGGGACTAAAAGTGCAAAAAAATCTTAGCAATTACTAAAAGTTAGAAGGCCATAGACGTAAAAAGGGGAAAATCTGTTGGCTCTTTTGAAAATCACGAATCCACTGCCAACTTGTCAAGGGTTTATCAATTTTCACTTATCAGTTCACTTCAGGCCAAAGGGTTTATTGAGAATCAGGGTACGAGAGAGATACAGAGAAGTAGAAGAAGAATGGAGGCCATAACAGAGGGAGTGAACGACTTGAAGATTGCTTCTAACAACTCCGAACCCCAGAAGAAGAACCGTATCCAAGTCTCCAATACTAAGAAATCGCTATTCTTCTATGTCAATCTCTCCAAGGTAATCTCTCGCCCTTCTCTCGTTGTACATGTTTTTTTTGAATACCTATTGGAGATTTTGAACCTATTTTTATGGTTTTATATGAATCGTGGATGCTCCTTGTATATCATTCTGTGTTTGTACAAAGATACTTTTTTTTTTTTTTTTTTTTTTTTTGGGAGGGGTGAGGCTAGGCTGGGCACTGTGCCGGGCGGTGTTTGCGTTGAAAGTTTGGATATCACAAACTTTTGGGGTCTGAATGCATTTACTAGCTCCGAGAGGATTTTAGGATTCTGTGGTTTTAATATGCGAAAATTATGGAAAAATTGTGGCACAATTTATTTTTATTGGCTAGATTGGTTTTATCTTCCTTCATTTGTTGTTAGTGCTGGATTGGTGGAAGAAAAGTTGTGAGGATTAATTAAACAATTGACTAAGGATGGTTTTGTTTGGTCTCTAAGTTTTCATGGTATTGTATGTTTAGTGCTGCTAGGATTTTTCTAATAGGTAGATGTTAAGGGGTAGTTTAAGATATGGTGCTTGATGTGTACAACAATTGTTGCTTACTAAGTTACTCTTTTGGCTGAAAATACAAGATGCTATTTTCTCCAAAACATAGAGCTCAAAGAACAATGGTGAGGCAGAAAAACTTGCTTAAGATGTCTGTAATTAAATGCTCTGAAGTTCTATACTGTTCCGTTTCTTATTAATCAACTTTTTTCCTTTTCTGCTTGGAAGGGTTATAAGATTGAATATTTTATCTGTTTTTTCAGTGTCTTTAAGTGGATTCAACATTTCATTTTGGTTTTATGTCCTGAACTATGTTTCAAATCAAATTTAATTAATATATTTTGAACAATTCAGTTTCACTAAGTATATGGGATTACTCATAAATTATTAAACTATAAAATCTTCTCCTTGGGCTTTGCTGATAATCCTTGGACTTAAAATGCCTTTTAATAGGGATTGTTACAATGCTGTCAACAGATGTATATGTTTATGTATGCTCACAGAAGTTTATTGAAGAAATACTTTCTTCTTCTGCTTCTTCTACTACTACTAGTACTATTACTATTATTATTAATCATTTTTTAATCTCTTGGATCTGTGGGGTGTGGATATTCTCATGTGTTGAATGGTTATTTGTCTGCAGAGGTATATGCAGCAATACAATGAAGTGGAACTCTCTGCACTTGGAATGGGTATATTCCTCTACTCAATTTTATATCAAGACTTTTTTCTTTTTGGGATAGGTACAATAGCATTTTAAAGATCCTACGAGAAACCCAGGACAGACACCTTTATTAAGTCTGTTTCTTTTACTAATTATGAATGGATAGCTTGGATTTTTTATGTCTTCATTGTTTGGTTATCTTCTATATTTCATATTTTCATTGCATTTTTTGTTGTTCAATGGAACTTGGTGCTTTACCTTTGAATGTACTACTGTGAGGGGTATTAGTAACTATGACTGGTGAGGGATTGGAGAGATGGGATGGAGAGAGAAAGAAAGAAGACCAAAATAGGGCAATTAGAGTAAAGAGAGGGAGAAACTGTGGTTAGGAGAAATTGAACCAGAAGGGCTGCTAAAATAATGAAAGGCCTAGACCAGGCGAAAGGAAACTAAAGAGAATTTAGAGAATTAAACAATAAAATATTGGAATATGAAATTTTAATAGTAAATTGTGCACTATTTCATTTTATATATAACGTAAACATAAAACATGGCTAATTTTTTTTCCTCCTATCCCTCTGCATTCCACATAAATGACTCGCAATCATCTCAAGTTAATTAGGCCATTCTTGTTGGACTGGCTATATGGTTGCAACTTCTTAAATTCTAACTTTGCTGTAACCCTTAAACTAGTAAATCTTTCTTAACAACTTCAACTCAGGTAAGTTTTGTTATACGTCTCTATCCTATCTCCTCCTACTACCAATTATCACTCTTAAATGGTGCATCCATCGGTCTATGTTGAATGTACAAGTTTATTTGCTATGGACTTTAGTGGCCTGAGATATAAATAAGATTAACTCGTGAGGTTCAGTGACTTGATGACTTCCCGTTTCAGGCTCTTTATAAAACACTAGGGTTGCAGAACTTATTCACTAGCTGATTTTGGCACCATTTGCATTAAAGCCTCTTCTTTGGAAAACTGAAAACTATGATGAACAGACTTGCTAGCATTAACAAAAAATTTCAATCTTATCCTACACTAGAAATAAATTAGGAAGTTCGGCATTTTGGAGTTTAATCTTAGATTTGGAGATTTGGTATGTTTTAGAGTTTAGAGTTGGTGCTGTCTTTGGTCTAAACTCTAAAAAAAGTTAATGAAGAGTGAGAAAAGAATAAAAACATTATGCTCATTAAGATTACCTTAATAAATGCTGGACAAATGGGATTTTCGTTTTCCACCCAACCATTGAGTGGTAGTTAATTGCTAAATTGGATCCATTTGGTTGTCTACCCTTGGTTCTTTTAATTACTGCATAAATAAAAAGCTATAATATAATGCAGAATGGAATAGGACAGTGAAGCCTATTTGTTCTTCTAGGAAGTAAAGAATACAATCATGTTTGTTAACATACATGGATTAGAAGCCTATTCATTATTTCACAATGAATTCATTTAGGGCAACAAGAAAAAGAAATGTTAAAAGAAATTATTTGATGATTGAATCATAGCTTAAATTTTTTATAGCGTCACATCTCCCATTCTCATTAAATCATTCCGATGCCTGCTGTTCCTACAGTTTAACTTGCAGTGTTGTTTTTTCAGCTATTTCAACAGTTGTTACTGTTGCTGAAATTCTCAAGAACAATGGATTTGCTGTTGAAAAGAGTAAGGCTTCTGTTTCTCCAGCTCCCTACCATGATATATCTTTCATCATTTGTTTTCCTATTAGTGTTTCTTGAGGCTTTAAGAATCATTCTGGTTTCTATATTGTATGCAGAGATTAGGACACTTAGTGTTTACATGAAGGATCATCCACAAAGTCGGCCTGTACCAAAGGCTAAGGTAAATTTTGAGTATGCTTTGTGCATAAGGTATTAAATGCTACAGATTGGATGCATCATGCAATCTTGGCCCATTAACTAAATATGACCAAACTTTGTGTGACCAGTTGCAATTTTAGCCCGGGCGTTCACAGTTTGCAATTTATATCAACTAATTTTAGTAGCCATTTTGTCCATTTCCAAATTTGACCTGGCTCGGCTTCTTAATATGGAGTTGTTCAATTTGGCATTGTTTGCACAACCTCTGATATCATTCCATAATTGTCTGTGCATTTGTGAACCAGATCACTATATGTTCTATGCCACTTACTATATATTGTCTGAAAAAGATTGATCAATTTTGAACGTTTTTCTCATTAGTTAAGGATGGATTCATACGTGGTTTTGTGTTTGCTTAGATTGAGATAGTGCTGGGAAAGACAGACAACTTCGAAGAGCTGATGGCTGCTGAAGCAGAGCGACGTGATGATGATGATGGTGTGGAAGGCTAGACGACTCGTTGTCTCCAGTGACAAAAGTAAATTTAGGTGTTGGTATTTAGTGTTTGAGAGAACACATCATAATTTGTGTAGAAATAATGGTTGTTTCAGTTCAAGATTAAATTGATATTGCAGGATGCATGCTTGCCTTGATTATTAACAATATACAGTGCATGTTATTATTTTGTGTGCAATCAGCTTGTAACTATAACTATGTCATCAACTTTAATTCAGCTTTTTATTCATTATTTGCACTGCCTAGCTTCGTCATGGTCTCTTCATCACATACGTGGGCGGCATTGTGGCAACTCCAAAATATTAGTTAGGTTGTCTTCTTTAACTTCCCTTTCAAAATGGTATTTATTGCACAGCTAGTAATCATTATTTTCTCATAACTAACAAGTTGTTCATATAACTTGATTAAACTAGAACTGTCAAATTCTATGATACTAATAATAAGAATGTCATTTCATCATAAAGAAGTTCAAGTCTCATCTCATTTAAAATTGATATAATTGTTAAACAGATATTATTATTATTATTATTATTATTATTATTATTATTATTATTATTAATGGGGTAGAATGTACTAAAAAGCATAAATATTTACTTTTGTTATTTATAAATATATTATTGTCATTTTTTATTTATAGAAGTAAACATTCTTATTATTTGACATTGTAAAATTTTGATAAACATATATAATTAACATTATGAACCTATTATATAGTGAATGAAAATAGATATATATGATGTACATGCAATTTAGTGTTTATATATGAATGTTTAGGTTAATGTGCATATGAAACAAACATGAAGTACTAGTTGACACCGTTAAAAATTTAATATAAAATGATATTATTTTGGATCAGAATTCACCATGCAAGTTGGACTTTAAATCGGTCCACGATCTAATTTGTCCAGACCTCAAGCACAATGGTCAGTGTAAATGGATATATGAAAAGAACATTGCTACAGCTCAAACAAATTGATAACACCTACATTTCAGGCGTAAAAGATTGAGCTTAATTGGTTGACTTTAACTATTGGAATTAGACTGCCTTAAAGGCCCATAATCGTAGGCAAGATTTTTGTATTCTTTACTCCAAAGTCCAAACGCATCAAGCCAAAGCCATTCAGGCTGGACAATTTATATCCTGCACCAGGGTGCGTTTTACATTGTGTACCCTGATGCAAAACGACGTCGTTTCAGATTTTTTTTTTTGAAATTTCGCTGTGTTGACGATTAATTTTCTTAAAAAAAAAAATCTCATGTTAAAAAATGTACATAATTTTATACTAGAAAATACACATAATTGTATACATGAATGTACATAATTGTATAACAAAATACACATACTTTTTTTTTTTTTTAAGATAATACATATAATCTAACATAATACATAATATACATAAACTTTTAACATAATAAACATCAACTCTTAACATAATACACATAAATTTTTCCTGTTTCGGATGTACATAATTGTATAAAAAAAGATGTACATGATTGTATAAAAAATGTACATAATTGTATAAACAAATACACATAATTGTATAAATAAATACACATAATCACGTCAACTCCCTACATAACTTACCAAAACGACGTCGTTTTGGGAGGCGCGGAGCGCACAGTGCTATGCGCGCCGTGGTGCAGGGTATAACGATTGTTCAGGCTCGGCAAATTTTACTATGGAACATGGTTTACGTAGCAACATGGATCATAAACTATTTATTATTTGAATTACACTTCAGTTTTTTTTTTTTTTTTTTTTTTTTTTTTTTTTTTAAACAATATTGTTATGTTTTTAAGTTTCATTTTTTACACACACTAATTTTATTATACCAATACTAAAGTATCATTTTAGTTCTACTACAATTTCATTTGACAATATACATTATTATAAGCTAAGAGCTCTATTAGTTATGATCCACTGTATAACAATTGGCTGGTATATATGACAGGTTCATAATTAGTTATGCTCAACAGCTATATAATAACCTATACTTTTTGACCCATGCAATGTGCAACCGATTTCTAATTTGGATTATGTGTGTGAAACTGTGAATTGATCTGGAGAGTTGCTATTGAAAGTGAAATATTTAATATAGGTCTCAACTAATCCAAGTCTCACTTAAATAGTCCTATAGTTGTTCTAAAAAATCACTCATTCCAAGTCTAAGTTCCTTTTTGTCTAAATAAATTTTTTAAGGTGAGTGTCATATGAAACTGTCTCACCAATCATTTTCTATGAGAAGGGCCAAATTTAGATAGAAATGTAAAACTTACGATGAGAACTGTATAAACTGTATTGAATAAACAGTAATTACAACTAGAGGTGAGCATCAATCAGTTACGGTTAATAACTGACCGATAACCGAATAACTGATGGCATTTTTAAAATCTCCATAACCGATCGAAACTGACCGGACATACACTTTTAATCGACCAAAGCCGATTATGTCGGTTTCGGTAGCCGAATAACCGAACATCCACAAGTAATATATATATATATATATATATATATATATATATATATATATATATATATATATATATATATATATATATATATATATATATATATATATATATATATATATTGAAAGGTTCCCGTGCGATTGTGCGGTTGATTAATGTGCGTGAGATTGTACTCAATGTGCGTGAGTGTTGTGCTTAATGTGCCTGAGATTTGTACTTAATGTTCGTGAATGTGTAAAATGCAGCAGAAAATATGGATGTCAGCTTCTTCCCCATCCCCAGTAGCCATTGCCCCTCCCTGATGATGATGATGCGGATGTGGGCTATGGTGGTTAAGAATTATTGGAATAATACAACAGAAATCCACACTTAGCTGGTGTGCAAATTTTTTTGTGTGTGCGTCATCTATATAAACATTCAACTGCACTGAAGGTAGCTGATAATCCAGAATCCATGGCCAAATTGAAGGAAGAAGTAACAAGAAGCTTGGGCGTTAATGTGCGTGAGTTTTCTGTTCTGCTTCCTTCTGAGCTCGTAATTCTGAACTACTCACGCACATTAAGCACAAATCTCACGCATATTAAGCACAATACTCAGGCACATTAAGTACAAAACTCACGCATATTAACATTATGCACATTAAGTACAAATCTCAGGCACATTAGCACAACACTCACGCACATTAATCTACTGCACAACCGCACGGGAAGTCACAAATGCACCTGATCCCTTCCCTATATATATGTCACCTTCATAACCGATAAATAACTGAATAAACAAATTTTTTTTAGCCTTATAACCGATAACCGACCCGCCCCATTCTTCCAAATGGCCGATCCCCAACCCCGATCCAACAGAACATCTGGGAGGATGTAAATCATGATAACTCAACTATGAGACTCAATCCTTAGTCATTCTTCCAAACTTTCACTTCTATGACCAGTTGCTCATGCGAGTATTCTAATCTAATATCATGGGTTTAATTGTTGTTGAACAATTTTTTTTTCCCCTTGTCTTTAATATCTTTCCAGCTATATTCATAAATTTATTCACGAAATGCAAATGAATAAAGTAATCAAAATATGTAATCACGGAGCTAGATTCCGATGATCCGATCCCTACATCTATCCAGTCAAACGTAAAGGAAGAGCAAGGATTGACGTGCACGAGGGAGAGAGAGAGAGATTCTTATATAAACACTGACAACGCAGGCAAATTATACACAAACATCTCTCGTCTCATCTTACGTAAATCATGGCGATTAGATTCATAGGAATGATGTTGTTTTTAGCTCTAAGTTTACTTCTTCTAGAAACCATTGGAGTCCTGGGAGATATAGGCACAGCCACGTCTTACAATCCCCCCTACACACGTAAGTTTAAAAAAATATTTTTTCTTCTCCCAATAATAATTTACTTTTGTTGTTCATTATTATATATATATATGATTGACTATATATGCAGCTACAAGATGCAATGGTAATCGAGAAGACCAATTTCCTGCGGGAAACCTGTTCGTGTCCGTAAGTGAGGGCCTGTGGGATAACGGCGCCGCCTGCGGCCGCCGCTATAGGCTGAGTTGTTTGAGTGGTAACAACAGACCGTGTAAGGGAGATACTATTGACGTTAAGGTGGTGGATTTTTGTGGCAAGAGGCCTTGCCCATCAACTATTGTATTATCTAAAGATGCCTTTGCACAAATCTCACATTCTCCTCAAGCCAAAATCAACATTGAATATATCCAGTATGTTTTCTTATCTCTTTTTAGAATTCCTTGAAAAAATAATTAGTTCAAATCAAATGATATATTCTGTCTTTAACTAAAATTCATTTCATTCATCATGAGCAAAGAGTAGTTATTGCTTATACCTAAGTTATAATTAGATGGAATGATTTAAGCAAGCTAAGGGTAAGCGTATGCTGAATTACAATATCAACACTATTAGGACTCTATATTCTTGGCACACTAGAATCTCTTCTCCCTCTCTCTATATCAGTGTTGTAAAAATATGCCTTGGCAGCTGTCTAGGCGCTAGGCTCCCCTAGGCCGAGGCAATTTTAGTCCTATGCGGCTTTTAGTCGGCTACCGACTAAGTGGTCGACTCGACCGAGTCCGCCTAACTCGACCGAGTCGTTGCCCAACTCGGCCAAGTTGGCGTTCAACTCGGTCAAGTGTTTTTTTTGTTTGCTAGGCTACTCCTCTTCTATATTTCTCCAGCCATGTACTCAACTAACCATCTAACATATGCCGTTGAATAGTTGAGGAATTATAACATTCTAACAACTCCTAGTGTTGAGTGGGAAAAATAGAAACGATATACTCGGATTACTCAGCTGCCTAGGCGCTAGGCGACCTCCGGGCGCCCGACTGCTAACGCCTTCTGCAACATTGCTCTATATTATTGAACATATATCCTTTACCATTCTTATCATGACTAGGGCTCTTTGTATCCTTATAAATAAATTTCAACTTTATATATAATGAATGATCAATAATAAGATCATGTCCACTATTTTTCTCATCGGGTATCAGTAGACCAAACGATACATGACTACAAACCCTACAAAAAGAAAAAAGCAAATAAACCACCGTTGCCGCCACCGCCACCCACGCCGATCGACGACACCACCTCTTCTTCTCCCATCATCTCCACTATTGCCTATCAACCCTATCCCTGATAAATACCCTACAAACAGCCTATCACTTCTTGTTGAAGCTGACCAACTAATTAGTTTGGATGAATATAATCTTTATCTATTCAAAGGCCTCTGCCCTGAGTACCGCACGATGATCTCCTCATTGACCACTAAAGAACTTGTAACAATTTATCAACTCAAGGACTGCCATTTTGTTCCTCACAAAAGTAACATCAAAGGAAATACAAGTAAACTACATATCTACAAAAAAGACAAAAAGATCAACTGACACACATCTTCATCAAATCACTAACCACAACAAGGTTAAATGATCTAAAAGACAAGTTCAATGTTCTCTCTAGAGAACATTAAGCTGAGGGGCGTATTAGGGCTCTGCATGTATTCTAGACACACTAGAATTCCTTCTCCTCTCCCTACATTATTGAGAATATATCCTTTACCATTCCTGTCATGATGGAGGCTCTCAGTATCCTTATAAATATATCTCTTCCTGTACTTTATATATAATGAATGATCAATCAGAAGATCATTCACAGAACTATTGTTCTCATCAACACCACTTCGTCTTATGCATGAAAATTAAAAAAGAAAAGATTATGCTTATTTAATTTCTTACCCACAAAAAGAGAAATTCCATCGCCCCTGGAACCTCTACATTGATATTTAACTAGATGACTAAATTTGGAACAAATCAATAGTCAATAGACCATTTATGATCTAATTGAAAGTTATGGATGAAAATTAGTAAATGTCAATAATCAATAAACTATTTATCGTCCAATTAAAAGTCAGGGATACAAATTGATAAATGTCAATATATAGTCAAGAGGTCATTCTTGAAAGTAACTCTGAATTTTAATTCGAACAATAGGAATAATATCTAACAATATAATTGATAAAATAATACTCTATATCACATACTTGACCTCTAGAACCCTAATAAAACGGGTTTGAATACTTGATAGTGAGTTTGAAATAGGTTTGGATAATAGTGAAATCTCTATGACCTTGTCTACCGTGCCACAAACACGAAGACCCAGCCAGGCAAGACCAACTAATAATGTTCTTATTAATTACGGTTATTACACCGATTTTATAGCCCAATTAATAATAATTATCCCTTGCCTTCATTCCAAATTTAGACAAAACCTTATCTTAAATCACAGTAGTCACAACTTTATAAATCATTACACCATTACTCTCAAGTTAGGTGGTTCGAGATTTGTTTTGTTGTCCCAACACTTCCGTCATTTGTCACAAATTAATTTCATACTAGTACAATTTGGTATCTAATTTAATCAAGTTAATTTTCACACAATTAACAAGACTATATCAACCAAATTTTCCAACTAGCTGAATCAAGCTTATATAATCGTACTAAGAATATTATTTTAAATATTCAATACACTTGAGCTTTGACGCTCACGATTATATAGCAATCTCAATTTTGACAAATTGACTATACTTGAAATCTAGAACTGAAGTCCTTTACGAGATTTCAACATGCAACACATTTGTTACATACCATTATGGCCGTTAAGCCATTCAAGCATTTTCCGTGGAATTGCTTCTTGAAGTCCTTTCTGTCCAAAGGCAACAAATGGATACCAAATTCCACTTGAAAGGCTTCGCTCACGATCATTCCTTCGTCAACTTGACTTAGGACGATCCCGGAATCCACCATTTTGTATTCAAGTAATCGGCTAATGACAAACATTTTTTACTTAGCGTCATCACTCTTATACTTCACGTCCAAAGATTTCCACAACGAGTCACAAACCATTTTAAAGCATATTTTAGGCGTAGGAAAACCAAATATTTCCAAATCCTCAATATGCTAATGGTTTGAGTGTTAGGCTCATATTCCTTTCCACTAGGAACCATGTCGGTCAAGAACCATGACATGCCGAGAATCACTAGGTTGATCAACACTTTAAGTTGCCGACATTCGAAATTCAACTTCTTGAATTTTCATGGTCTTTCAACCAATCCACAAGGTACCGTCCCATGTACCTTCATCGTAGGGATATACCCTTTGATGCCACCACCGGTCTCCGAACCAAAGTTCATCGGGGTTTCGGAATGTGCAACAACGTTGCCGATCCGACCATTTGAATGTGCAGCACGAGCAACTTTCATGGTTCCACCACTCGTGGAATCCATCGACTTTATTCACCAAAAATTAATCGGTTTTAAGATTGTTGGATATTGGTGAATAAATCGATACACAATATATATATATATATATATATATATATATATATATATATATATATATATATATATATATATATATATATATATATATATATATATATATATATATATATATATATATATATACCCAAAAATGAAATTTAATTTGTAGAAAATTAATTACAACCAATTTTGGTACAAAACCAAAATTACATATATATACGAAGTATATATATTAACAAAATAGAGATTTATTTTATCAAAAATAATTCCACCACAACTAGTACGAAACTAGTACAAAGGATTTAATCCTTACGAGATTAATCCCACCACTTCGTCCAAAACCAAGAACAAAAGTCAAGAAAGGGTTTCTAACCTGAGGTTTTAACCCAACGAGAAGAAAGAAGAAGCAGAAATCCGAGTTGTGTGTACACACACTCTCCTTAAAATCGATTCGCCACCCCCGAGGGTGCTAGGAGCGTTGTGGCGTTAGTCTCCCAGGATAAAACGGACTACGACTTTAGCGTCCGAGCACTCAAACCCAAAGTCCGGCGAAGAAGAACACAAGCTAGCTGGAGCACTCCAATGTTTTACGGAAAATGTTGGTAGAATTTCTTTCGTATCAAAAGAGAGTTGAGAGTTGAGTGGAAAGGAAAACCAAAAGATTTTGATGAGTTTCAAAATTTGAATTAAAACAACAATCTGCCACACCAAGCTATTTGTAGGGAAAAGGAAATTAAAAGCACAATAATAGCACATAAACCAACATTAATCTAATTTAATAATTGAATAATAATGTTTGAAACGGTTGTACTTGTTACCGAAATAATATCAACGGTCATGAACTTAATATCCGATTAATTCGTACCGACCATAACAACCCACTTCAAAATACCTGAGTGACCGAGAAACCCGTACAAATCCAAAAATTTAACAAATTAGGACCAAAAACCACACCCAAGTGATCCGCAAGCACCGAAACGGTGCAGCACGAATCAATGCATATAGCATTGACTCGTACGAAAAGCACCAACTCGTGTTGTGAGCATGAAAGGAGCTCATCACACGAAAGGAGCTCAATTTCCAAAAGCACGGGTTTGTGCTTAAATCCCAAATCATAACCTTAATTAAGCAAACAAAGCTTAATCACTTAAGCTTAATTAAACTTACTTTCTTGCATACTTCGTGTACAACGAATCAAAGCTTAATAACGAATTGCTAATCTAATTAGTAATTAGTTTGAGATTTTGACTTCTCTCAAATAGGTTCACTTTGAAAATCAATTTCACATTCACCTATTACCCATTTTGAGCGTACATTATATTAAATTCTTCGTCTCACTACGAAGAACCTGAATCCGCTTTGACCCAACTCAAATCAAAAGTGGATCCTACATATATTTGTACCACAAAATAGTCACTCAAAATGCCATTTAATGCATTAACTGCGATCTTTTTTTTTTTTTTCATCCCTTATTTTTCATTTCATTGTTCAAAAGTGGATAAGTAAAAAGGTAATGAGTTTTGTAATTATTAAAGGATTTAATTCCAATAGTAGGATAACAAAAGTAGCCAAACAAACATATGCTAATGAGTATCAAAGTGTATATTAGGGTGCAGAAGTCTCAAACTAAACACACCCTAAATTCTCTCTCACTCACTTACTCACTATTGGCAAATTATACCGTGGACCATGGTTCACATTGTAATGTTAATCATAAATAAATGTTCATTTTTAATATGTTAAAAGTTTATTATTTGTGTACCAAAGGCTCATTATTTGGTATTATTAAATAATGAAATTTCAAAATTGAAAATTCAATGTATTAAAAATGAACATTTAGTATATTAAAAATATACTTTATGCTAGTGGTTCAACTTATAAGTTGGACCATGAACTATGGTATAATGGTTGCTCACACCTCACCCCCTCCCCCTCCGATCCCCAAATATATGTTTAGCAATCTAGTTAATTTTGAATTTTTGAACCTAATTAACCCTTAACCAAAATTTCTCAAAACCTTGAACCAATTAACTTGGCTTAGTAACCTAATTAACTGAATTAAAATTCGGTTTTGTTTACCATTTTTTTTTGTTGGGGGGGGGGGGGGGGGGTGAAAGGGTGATCTCTAATAACTTGGATAAAGTACACACACAAAAAACAAAAAAAAAAAAAAAAAAAGAAAAAAGAAAAAAGAAGAAGATAATATTATAATATGTACTCATAGTAGTGGATAGGTAAATTATTTAGTGATTTCAATTAGGCTAGTCGTTATCAAACTGTCAGTGATCCTTATCGATATTTTGGTCAGGTTTAATTAAAATTCTTGCCCCTAATCCTAAAATTCGGATTATCTCACGGGTTAAACTAAAATTTTCGACATTTTTAAATTAATATTTTAATTAAACTTTCAATTTTAATAAATTGATTACACTAACAAATATATTACTGCATTATGTAATTTCTGACCACCTGAAAGTGATCTTATATCCAGTTGAAAGTAAAAAGTGGTCGGAAATAGCAACAAAAATTTTTCTGGATACCAAAATTGGTCGGAACAAGACTTTCAACTTGATTTATGATAATTTTCAGGTGGTCGCAAATTTTATAATTTCTAGCAGTGATAAACTTATATATCATTCAATCAATCTAAATCTCCATTTTAAAATTCGAACTAAAATAATTTATATATTTAAACTATACTAAAATAAATATAATACAATTTGTAGTTTTCATTATTTTTTTTTAAAAAAATATTTTTGTGATAAATTTATTAATATATTTATTATAATTTATTTAAAAATTTAATTTAATAAAAAAAAAACTAAAAATGAACTTACATTTAAAACTCAATGTATTTTTTTTGTTTTTGTTTTTGTTTATTTTTTGTTTTTTGTTTTTGTTTTTTTTTTTGTTTTTTGTTTTTTTTTTTTGTTTTTGTTTTTGTTTTTTTTTTTGTTTTTTTTTGTTTTTTTTTGTTTTTTTTTTTTGTTTTCCTTCACTTGTGAAACAAAGAATAGCATTAAGTGGCTCGAGCTATTGGGTTAGTCCATTCGGGGGTTGAGCTTATCAGTTTTGGGCTTATAGGGATACAATTTTTCGGTCTTATTGTGCAAGCCTATCGATATCGGACTAAGATTGACATTCCTTGATAGTGTGAATAATGGTGGTGATTGGAAGATAAGTAAATAGGGATGGTGATAGGGTAGGTAGGTGGTTATAGAAACATAGATTATATTATAGAAAATGTTATGCCCGGGAACACAAGAAAAAACTGTTTTTCAACTTAATTGTTTATTTAACACGTTAAATTAAGTTGTTAGTTGTTATATGAAGAATTATAACACATTTTCTTAAAGCACTTTATATATGTATGAACCCTTAAAACTCTATATATAAATTTTTAGGTTTTTTATTTTTATTTATTTATTTATTTATTTTTGATTTGCTTTGCAGGATATAGGAAGCTGAGAGAACAAATATGTTGGAGTATACGTGTCATTAAATTATATACTCATGGCTGAGTAACATTACATTCTCTTTCAAAATTTTCTTTAATATTATTCACCTAGCATTGTTTGATTAAATATTTGTGTATATATTTAATTATTAAGTGAATTTATTTTTTAACTCATGGTGAGATAATTGGTCATTTCGTGAGTGAGCAATGAAGATACTTTTGGCTGCCAAAAATGGGTCAGTTAGATGTAGATCCTACTTTAACTTAGGCCATGGTTATAAATGAGGTTATCTCTTGGGCTAAGGAGTGTGATTGGCAGAAGTTGGTGATCTACTCGACTGTCAAGTAGTTTGCAAGATGTTGGAGGATTTTTTACCGAACTATTATTATATTGGATGCATTCTCCGTGATTGTTATAATCTGAAACGACATTTTGTTAATGTGTCGTTCTATTATGTTTCTAGATCAGCGAATACGTTTGCTCATGCATTAGCTAGAGCGGCGACTTCTCAGTCTGGTCCTGGTTCTTGATTTTTATCCTTTCATGATTATATTCAGCATTTACGTTTGAGTGATTAATATATCACACTTTTCTTGGTTTACGAATTGTAATTTATTACCACATCAAAAGGAAATCATTATGAGGTAATTAAATTTAGGAAAGAAAATTAATATTTTTCTTTTGAGATATTTCTCTCATATGTTGATTGAATATTCAAATTAAAAAATCGAAAATAACAAAAGTCTCAAGATAATTAGATTGAAATTGTCAGTTATGGTGCAAAAAGAAAGAAAGAGTTTCCCTTAATCAACATTTGTTTATTAAAGAATGAGGATAACACTATATGCTCATATAAAATGAGATTCAAATTTAGTTTATAAACATCTTGGACCCGTTGACTAACGTAAATTGTTTTCTGTTTTCTAACTTTTTCAGTTGTCATTATCTATTTTCTGTTTAGAAAACTTAGCTTGTTTACTAACACTTATATATATATATATATATATATATATATATATATATATATTAATATTAACGTTATAAAATTAACACAGGTTTCATTTCAAGTGATTTTTGGACCTTAATTATATTTAAAATATTCTAAAATACATTTGAATGACATGTATATAAATATATATAATCTTTACTTTGAATTCTAATATAGTCGGTGTTTGAGGAATGGTTAGCGGAGTCTACCACTAGGGTATTTACCCTATTGGGTAGTAGTAAGTAGAAACATATCCTGGCTATTATGACTAGTTACTACCCATTGGGAGTGTGCACACTTAAGATATTAATTAGTTCTGTTCCACGTAAATGAGATTTTTGCGTAGTGTTCAGTAGAATGATTACTGTTCACTAGGACTTATTAAATAAGACCCTGCCCATTATATACATTATTTACATTATCAAAATTAAAATTAAACTCTATAGGGCTTATTAAATAAAACCCTGCCCATTATATACATTATTTACATTATCAAAATTAAAATTAAACTCTATACCAAGTTTTATATTTTGATTGAACTCAATTTATTATTGGTTTGGATATTTTTAGTTATGTTATATCGTAATACAAGTTTGATCCGAATATCAGATATTGAAATTTCACATATATTACTATATTAAAATTCAAAGTAAAGATTTTATATATATATATATATATATATATATATATATATATATATATATATATATATATATATATATATGTGTCATTTAAATGTATTTTAGAATATTTTAAATATAAGGTCCAAAAATCACTTGATTAAATTTGTGTTAATTTTATAACAATAATCTAAAAGAAATTGAAAATATAAGTGTTAGTAAACAAATTTTCTAAATAGAAAACAGAGAATGAAAACTGAAAAAAATTTAAAAATAGAAAACAATTTCCGTGAGTAAACGGGTCCTTAATAAACTTTCACATGCATTTTAATTTGTTAAAAAAAAAGTTTTTAAAAAAATTCTAACTACCCTAGGGCTGCTAAGTTGCTAGAAGACACGATATTTCAAATTTCAAATTTAATTATATTCTCATCTGCAATTCGTGATACCTTTCCGAAAGATGGAAGGGATAAAAGGGATTCCAATTTGATAATAGAATCATTTCGTTCATGCAAAGGGAGCTTGCTTATCTTTGAGGCTTTGACCAAATGCAAGCTAAGTTTATGAGATCCAATACATGTCCACATGATTCTCATTCCACTCCATCTTTTATCACTTACTTTTCGTGAATGATTCAATTAAAAATACAAGACTAACAAGTATACTTTTAAAGAATAAAACTGTTGTCATATATTTTGATTTTGATAATTAAAAAGAATGAAATTAATAAAAACTATGATAATTTTTTCTAGATAAATTAAAATATCACCATGTTAGTAGAACCAACAAGTAGAATACAAAGTAGAAATACATGTAGAAACTTATTACCATGGATCTGTGTATAACATCACAATTTTTTTTTTTTTAATACACTAGCATTAGTTAATAATTAATTAGTTGATAATAATTTTTAACATTGAAATTTACTTTATAATAAATCATGAGTTTAATTTGGTCCGTTTAATTGGTTTTCTTCTATCCCTAATTGTATTGAACGTTTGATTTAATAAAGTTACTTCAGTTGGTTTTAAAAATAAAAAATAAAAAATCATGAGTTTTTTTTGAAAGCAACCAATGTGGTTATATATTTAGATAAAAGCTGAAATAGAGTCTGGTGGGACAGTGTCCCAGTACATAGCCGTAGCATGTTCAAAAGCAGTAGAAGCTAAAGTGTGAGCTAAGTAATTCTGCGATCTAGGAATAAAAATAATTGAGTAGGCATCAAACGCCAATATGTAAGTTTTCCAACCATCAATAGCATAACCAGTATATGATCGGGGCGGAGCATCTGATGAGGATAGGTAGTACTGAAGTGTATGGCAGTTTGTATATAGTTGAATAGACTATTCTCCACGAGCCCATAACCATGATAGCGCCTCTTTGACCGCGAATGCTTCGGCCATAAGTGGGGAAAAACAGCTCGGTAGGGGGGCGCTGAAGGCCGAGACATAGCCACCATCGGCGTCGAGTATGACCGCTCCAACGGTGGTCAAGTTCGTGGCGTGACGGTAACCGGCATCGACATAGAATCTCTGCCGTTGCGTTATAGTGGTAGACGCCGAAACAGTAACTGGTAGCAAGGGGGCAGTGTCGGCTCGGCGGTGGTGGCAACAGCCGTTCCTTTGGCAGTGGTGGCAACAGCTATTCCGTCGGCCGCGGTGTAGTGTACTCGCCGCCATGCCTGCAGTGTGGCCGTCGCCGTGACAATTAATTTCATGGGCAATGGTAGATAGGCATCCCATACCGCTCCTTTCCGTGCACTCTAAATATGATATAGAATTGCAGTTGCGTACATAATTCCATTAGTGTCTAGAACATTCAAGATTACACTAAACCATTCATGGAAAACATTTGTTACAACTTACAATATTGGGGAGTGGAAGGTTAGACTGAGCCCATATGGAACTTGCATAGCCACATGATATCAATGAGTGCATAGTGTCCTCATGAATGATTCCACACATGACACAAATCGGATCAACATCTACCCTCTTTATAAGCAAATTGTTGTTAGTGGTGAGGATATCACTTCTAGCTCTCCATAGAAATGTCTTCCACTTAGGGGGATTTTTGGTTTCCATAGGGTAAACCATTTATAAAGTCCCATTATTATTATCATCATAATTTCTAATAATGAGCCTGTAGCCATTTTTCACCGAGTAGCAACCATTAGGGTCCCCATGCCAGTACCATGTATCATCGTAGTCCGGAGAGACGGGTATCTTCAATATTCTAGGCACATCACTTGGTTGGAAAATATCAGAGATAATATGGTGGTCTCATGTACTAGTATCCTGATCAATTAGATCTATCACCTTAGCTCCTGACAGTTGCGATGACATCTCTGTATGAATCATAGGATCTAGATCATCCTGGAGCCAGGGATGTTCCCAGATTAAGGTAGAATTTCCATTCCCAACACGCCGTCTCACCACTATATACTAAATCCTTAGCTACCATAATACTGCGCCAACAGAAACTGAGGTTATTTCCTAAACATGCTTCAGAGAAAGGCTGTTTAGGATAATATCTTGCTTTATATACCCGAGACACCAATGAGTCAGTGTTTGTTAGCCATCGCCATGCATGTTTGCCTAGCATTGCCAAATTAAATGCTTTGAGATCTTTAAATCCCAGACCCCATACTTCTTAGGGACACACAATTTATCACATGCTTTCCAGTGAATGCTCCGGTTAGTTCCTGATCCCCACCAATAACGATTCATCGTTCTCTCGATAGCTGTGCAAACAGATACAGGTAGCAAAAAAACACTCATTGAGAAGGTAGGCATAGACTGAGCCACACTTTTCAATAAGACTTATTTACCAGTCTGCGATAAAAGCTTCTTGTTCCATGATCCAATCCCCTGCCTAATTTTATCCTCAATGTAAGCAAATGCTGCTTTTTTATTTCTCCCAACAAAAGAGGTCAATCTCAAATATTTCCCAAAATTAGGGGCCCGGGCGACCCCTAAAATCTGTGTCACCTCCTCCATGTCTTCCTCACATGTATTTTTGTTGTAGCATATGCTAGACTTATGATAGTTAACCACCTGCCCAGACAAACTCTCATACACAGATAAACAATTTTTAATCTCATTAGCCTCTTGCACATTAGCCTTAAATAATAATAAACTGTCATCAGCAAGAAATAAATGAGAGATCAGGGGAGCACCCCTAGCGACTCTGCACCCATTTATTAAACCACTACTCTGTGCCTGCTGTAGCAACAAAGAAAGTCCTTCTGCACAAATGATAAAGAGATAGGGGATAGTGGATCACCCTGCCTTAAGCCATGAGTGGGTATTATCGGGTTGCTGTGGGAGCCATTAATAAAAAAAACTACATGACACAGTAGTTACACATAGCATAATGAGTTCCACCAATTTTTCATCAAACCCAAGGGCCAAAAGCATTCCTTGTAAAAAAGGTCATTCCATACGGTTATAGGCCTTAGCCATATCCAACTTGAGAGCCCCCCCAGCCAACAATCCCACACTGTTTCCTATTCAAATAGTGTCCAACCTCCGTAGCTATTAGAATATTGTCTGTGATAAGTCTATCAGGGACAAAAGCACTCTGTGAGTCAGATATAATATCTTTCATCATAGGCTTCATTCTGTGGGTAATCATTTTAGCCATAACTCTACAGACCACATTACTCAAAGCTATAGGTCTAAGATTAGATACAAGCTCAGATGTGTTTTGCTTTGGGATTAGCACAACATCCGTATCATTCAACCCAGAAGGAAAAGTACTCGTATTTAGGCAGTTTACTATAAACTCTGAAACATCCCCTCCCACTACATCCCAAAAGTGTTGATAAAACCCCGGATTCATTCCATCCGGGCCAAGTGCCTTATCAAGGAACATAAAAAAGAAAAAAAAAAAAAAAAAAAAAAAAGAGCATCTTTAACCTCACTTATCTCAAAGGGCCGGAGTAGCGCCTCATTCTGAGTTCGGGTTACTCGTGGGGTAATGTTATCAAATAAACTATCCCCACTCACAAGATTACTAGAGCAAAATATCTTATCAAATTATTCCATAATGATGCCTTTCATAGCTTCTCCCTCAGTCCAATCCCCACAATCATTCATAAGTCTAGATAAAGTATTCTTTCTTTTACGATGAGAAACATACCTATGATACAATTTTGTATTTGCGTCAGCATCCTTAAGCCAATGTTGCTTGGCTCTCTACCTCCAATATGCATCCTCCTGGGTTTCCATGCCGCTGAGGACCTCCTCCAAGCGTTGGAGTTCAGCTAATGAAGCTGAATCAGTGCGCCCTCTCAGGTGTAACATGCTCTTTTTGAAGGCTCATAGTCTGTTCACCGAACTTATGATATCGATCACCGCCCCATTGCGACAAGCGATTGCCACAATACATAATACAATCCTGCAGGCCCATATTCCTTCCGTCCTCCCAAGACTTCTCCACCACATCCATGTACCCCTCATCATAAAGCCATGCCATCTCAAAGCGGAACCTTCTCCTTCCTACTCCTCCCTTTCCAATTGGGTCATGAATTCCCAAATAGAGGGCTGAATGATCAGACGTTCTAGTCAAAAAATTAGACACCCTCGCCCCTGTCACAATTCCGCAACTAGTTATTCGTTGCCTATACCTTATCCAACCTTTCTTCAATCCACCTGTGTGTGCCTTTTCCTTTTTCCCATGTAAACTGATATCCGTCCATAGGTAATTGGGATAGTCCATATTGTTCAATAACCTCTCCAAAACCACGAAGGAGGCTATCTGGGTGCGGGTTTCCCTCTCTTCTCGTACTGGAACAGAAGATCGTTAAAATCGCCCACCATAACCCATGGTAGATAAGATCGTAGTGCTAGCGATTTTAGCAAATCCCACGCTTCATTACGCCTATTGCACTCAGGGAATCCATAATAACAAGTCATCCGCCAGTTTGGCAAACCAGTCATACTTATTTCTACATCAATATGATTCCTTGAAAAGCTCATTAGTCTTACAGTATTAATTTTTCTCCATAGTAAAGCCAATCCACCACTCAACCCAATGCAATCAACATAGAATAGACCATCAAAACCGAGCGAAACATGAATACGTTCTGCATGTGTTCGCCCCACTTTAGTCTCCATCAGGAAAACAAACTCAGACTTCTTCCAGGACACCATGTCCACAAGTTCACGAACTGTTCGTGGATTACCCAAGCCACGACAGTTCCAGCTCAATGTACTCATTGGGTCGGGCGGGTCTGGGAACCAAGACCCGCCATCTACAAGTTTTTTGAACCACCATTCACCGTCTGACCTCCAATCGGCGAGCCAACCCTGCCGGTACTGCCAGTTGCCGCCCGTCGGCGTTTGGACGAAGCCACCACCCCTTCCTCCTAATCGTGTTGCGGCTGTGCCATGCGGACGTCTCCCTGGTTATCATCCGAGGAGTGCCCTCTTCCATCATACTCGGTTGCACCGGCTGCTGCCATACAGTATCCGTCGGCGGTAATAGCCACGAAGTGCCCACCGACCTCGGTCCTCTAGATTGCCCCGCTCTCATCCAGGCACTGTACGGGTAAAATTCCGGTTTGATACCCGAAACCCTAGCCTTCACACAGAACTTATCAAGATGCCCTAGCATACCACAATAGAAGCAAAAGTTATGGAGTCGCTCGTACTTCATATTCACCCAGCCCCAGGACTTATCTCGCCGTATTAGTTTCATACGCCGCTTCAGTGGTTTCTCAACCGGAACTGAAACATGTACGTGGTAGAAGGTCTTCCATGGTCCTCCAACTTGGTGGTCGTCACACCGAATGAATGATCCCACAAAATTACCAACTGCTCAAGAACCACATTAGATGTATATCCCATGGGCAGATCATACACCTATATCCACATATCAACGGTATCCAATTTTACTTCCCCCGGAAGAAACCCATCACAGACCTGTCGACGGACTAGTGTATGGTTATCAAAGGACCAAGGCCTCTCTTCTAATACCCGCACCATATCCGTCTCGTGATAGAAGGCGGAGAGAAACAAGTTAGAGTGCAACTCCGTTACCCGCATCCCCATCACCGGTTGCCAAACCGATGCTAAAACCTGCCGCATATACTCTATCTTAATCAACTTCGCCGTCAAGAAGCGGCCTATGACAGAATATACTACCGCCTCATCGCCCGGTGTCGACCGGAAGTTGTCGTCGGCCTGAACACCTTCCTCCTCGTCTTCGAGAGCCATGTCAGCCCAGCGTTCGGACAACGCCTCTACTCCTCCATCACGCTGCTGCGAAGACACACCTGCCATGTCGTCGTTGCTCGGAAAATTCGAAGATCACGGGAAACCCTATAAGGGAGATAGCGAGAGAGAAACCCTAATTAGGGAGAGAAAATTGTGTTTTAGAAATTTTAATAAAAATTATATATTCATGAGAAAAATTGTGTTTTAGAAATTTTAATAATACTGGTGAACTTATTGCATTTCGTAATATTTTAAAGCTTCAAGAATCGGTGAATTTATTGAGAAAGTAGTTGTTGCGTTGGGTTTTAATAATCCATTGCTTTATAAACAAACGATGATTACTTCTTTCGTTATAGTTGAAAATTACTTCTTCGTTATAGCCATTACACAATGCAGAGTTGTAAAATTCTAGAGTTGCACAATCAGGTATTACAAAATTCACAATTGTAAAATTCAAAAAATGAGCATTTATGTATTGCCATATTGGCCATGTTTGGTAAATAGTTGTTCGCTAATAGCTGAATGAGTTAATTAGAGGGTATAACTTGTTGATAACATTAGTTGATTGTAGAAAGGTATTTGGTAAATTAACTGTTAGCTGATAACTGATAGTTGTTTGGTATAATTTCTTTTTTCAAAAAGCTAATTGAAAAAGTTGATTTTGACAACTTTTTGAATTTTAGCATTTTAGAGTTACAAAAAGTTAATTAACCAAACACTTATATTGAGTTTTTAACCAAGTCAAACCATTAATAGTTGTCAAATAAATCAAAATTGGCTGATAAGCTAACTATTTTACCAAACAGGGCCATTATAAGATGCACAATCATAATTATAAAAGTAAGTATAGAAATACATATTTTCCAGATGCACAATCACTTATTTATGAATGTACAATCAAATATTAATAAATGCACAATAGGTAATTTGCATGTTCACACGAGAGATGTGGTTCTCATTTAATGCTGCTCTTATACGTGTGTGTGTGTGTCAAAATTCTATGTTCCTTCTGGAAGAGGTAAGTTTTTATGTACACGGTACATACAGGTATGAGAGTATGAGAGAGAGAGAGAAAATGGTTCCTATATAAACACAGACAACGTATGCAGGCAAATTATAGGCAAAGATCGCTCGTCTCTTCCTTATAATATATATTATTTGCTACCTCGTACATACCTCAATCAATAATATGGCAATTAGATTCATAGGAACAATAATGTTGTTTATAGCTCTAAGCTTACTTCTTCAACAAACCAGCGTAGTCCTGGGAGACATAGGCACCGCAACATCTTACAATCCTCCCTACACACGTAAGTCAAAAAAAAAAATTTTCTTTTAATTTTGTTATATATATATATATATATATATATATATATATATATATATATATATATATATATATATATATGATTCATTTACGTACTATATATATGCAGCTACGAGGTGCAACGGAAATAGACAAGACCAATTTCCGGCTGGGAATCTGTTCGTGGCGGTGAGTGAGGGGTTGTGGGATAACGGTGCCGCCTGCGGCCGCCGCTATAGGCTAAGTTGTTTGAGCGGTAACAATAGGCCTTGTAAGGGGGATACAATCGACGTTAAGGTGGTAGATTTTTGTGCCAATAGGCCTTGCCCATCAACTATTGTATTGTCTAAAGATGCCTTTGCACAAATCTCACATTCTCCTCATGCCAAGATCAACATCGAGTATATTCAGTAAGTTTTTGAATTGTCTCTTTTTCAAATTTCAAAATCTTTCAGATAAATGCATTATTTGATTAAATATTATTTATTACATTAGAATTTTTTTTTTTCGAGTGACGATGGAAATTCGCAGTCACGAGTGTGCATTGAATAAACATCTCTAGTGCCTAGTTGTTACTCTGTAATAGGTGAGTCACTATCTAAGATGTGCACTGGGTAAATTCTGCTCCTGTGTAATAGCCCACTAATCACACAAATGAGGTAAACTATACATAGAAGAGCTGTATAATTAATAGATGATACTAAGAATGTGTTAACAAAAATCAAACTCGTGACCTTTAAATATGATAATCATGCTCCACCTACTTGGCCATCTCTTTCGAGACTTAAAAAATAATTATTACTTCTACCTTAAGGTATAATTAGATTGAATATAATGGTAAGCGTAGGCTAAAAGCTAGTATGATATCAGTATGTATTACGCCATATTACGCATGAAAATTAGAAAGGAAATAATGATGCACATTGCTTGTAAACTAAAACTGTTAATACCACGTTGATATGATGAGTTTCTAATTTCTAATTAATAGGGTGTATGCATATAAGTTTAAATAATTAAGTTTGCATGTCATCAACCTAATAAAGTTTTCAAAATATATCCAAAAAAAAAAGTTACATGCAAACTATGGTTGTACGTATGTTTGGCAATTGCATGGCATAAAAGTGTTTGGTGATCCTTATTATACATATATATATATATATATATATATATATATATATATATATATATAGAAGGGATCAGGTGCATTTGAGGCTTCCCATGCGGTTGTGCGGGTGGACGCACGTTAAACATTAATCTGACGCACTTATAGTACACAACACACGCACATTAAGCACACAAAAAAAACACCTTCAGAACACAGCCTCACGCATGTTAAGTACAAGTCTCACGCATGTTAAGTACAAGTCTCACGCATGTTAAGCACAAGCCTCACGCATGTTAAGCACAAAAACACACGCACCTTAAGTTTTAAAAAAACTCACATTAAGTACACTCTCACGCACCTTAAGTTTTAAAAAAACTCACATTAAGTACACTCTCACGCACATTAAGCACAAAACTCACGCACATTAAGCATAAAACTCATGCACTTTAAAGTTTCAACAACAACTCACATTAAGTATACACTCACGCACATTAAGCACAAAACTCACGCACATTACGCACAAGACTCATGCACATTAAGTATAAAACTCACGCACATTAAGCATTACACACTCACGCACATTAAGCACAAATCTCACACACATTAAGCACAAATCTCACACACATTAAGCATAAGACTATATATAGAATTAAGTTTCAGTGCGAGTGACTGTTTCCCGTGCGACTATGCGGTGTGTAATGTGCGTGAGGTTTGCACTTAAGGTGTGTGAGACTTGTGCTTAAGGTGCATGTGTTTTGTACTTAAGGTGCGTGGGTGTGTACTTAATGTGAGTAGTTGTTGAAACTTAAGTGCATGAGTTTGTGCTTAAGGTGCGTGAGTTTTGTACTTAAGGTGCGTGAGTCTTGAGCTTAAGGTGCATGTGTCTTGTGCTTAAGGTGCGTGAGTTTGTGCTGAGTAGTTGTTGAAACATAAGATGCTTGTGTTTTGTGCTTAAGGTGTGTGTGAGTTTTGTGCTTAAGGTGCGTGAGGGTTGTGCTTAAGATGCGTGCGTTTTGTGCTTAAGGTGCGTGCATTTTGTGCTTAAGGTGCGTGAGTTTTGTGCTTAAGGTACGTGGGTTTGTGTTCTTAAGGTGTTTTGTTTGTGTGCTTAATGTACGTGTGTTGTGTACTTAAAGTGCATCAGTTTAATGCTTAATGTGCGTCTAACCGCACGGGAAGCCCTCTCCCACACCTAATCCCTTCCATATATATATATATATATATATATATATATATATTTTCAAGATGTGGTAGCTAGTTGTTCTATATATGTTTTCTCAAACATTTTCAACTAAAAAAATTCTAAGCTCACACCACTGGGGTTCGAACCTATGATCAAACACTTGCAAGTGATATGACAAGTCTTTTATCATTTTAAATGGATGGTCATATGATCGTATCTCGATACTACTTTAAAAGTTTGGTGGTATTCAATTACTCTTTAAAAGTCTACCAGTATCACTATTAAAATAGGATTTCTGTAGATTTTTCTTTCACAAATATAAATAGTTGATATTCAACCCTCCAACTCCAAACTTTTCAACATTCTTTACAGACTTTTTTTCTTTATCGACAAACTTTTCATCTATTCTAGTCAAATTTTACGGTACATTTCAAAACTTTCATAAATCCTTATATATTTTTTATTTTTATCTTTTTATTTTCGCACATATCTATAAAAAAAAATCTATCATAGCCAAAAAAACTTGTTGCGAATAGCAACAACGTAACATGCTGCTATTCGCAACAGTACAGATCAAATTAGATTAAGGGTGTGTTTGGTTCGCACATGGGAATCGGAATCGGAATGAGTATCAAATACTCGGTAATTGTAATGGATTTTGGTGAAAGTATTAACATGTTTGGTAGTATGGTGGAATGAGAGTGGTTACCAATAGTAGTGTTTGAGAATGAATAGGGGAATAAAACACTTATTTTATTTGGGTATGGATTTTGCAATTGATGGGGTATTTGAAACACATAGTAGTGTTCTCAAAACCTATCAACCAAAAAATAACAATCACTTTCATACCCATTTCTATAGGCAAAACCCATCAACCAAACACACCCTAAATTCTACTAACAAGATTATGAATATTTTACTTCATACTTTTTCATTCTAGAAAATTTTTATAATTATATTAATCATAATTAGTTGTTTCATTTGTTTGTGAAATATTTTTATTGGTTATATCATTTAGTGAAAATTAATTGATATTTTTTTTTTAATGTATAATACACTTTATTTTTGTGTCAATCAATTTTATTTTTATGTTTTGCAATGTAATAATTTATTTATGATTTATAAAAAAATTATTATATATTATAAAAGTTTTTGTAAGAAAGTTATATGAAATATTTGTAAAGGTGTATTAAATTTAGAGTTTTAGGGTGTAGGCAAGTTTTCTAGAAGGAGCCACATTTTCTAGAAATCTATCGCTCCTTCGGAAGAAGAGTATGGCTACTAGGAGTGCGATCTGTCCAAGAAGTTCAAATCACCATCTCATTCAAACATTGACACTCTCGAATCTCTATGAAATCCCTAAAATTATATCTCCTCTGATCTTTGTACTACTTGAAGAAGATAACATTATTGGTGATGAATTTTCTTCCATACTAATAAATTTTGTTGGGGAAAATTAGTTAGGGCCGGGTTTGGAGAAGAAGAAGTTGAGATTGGGTTTCTTGGAATAAAAGACGAAGAAGAAGAAAAAAGAACAACTAGTCTTGATCAGAATTGTTATATTTTGACTTAAAATAAAAGAACAACATGAATGGACAATTTTACATTTCATTTACACGGCCCAAACATAGCAAAGTAATGGAAGGATCAGTGATGAATTTAAATATTTAGGACTAAACGTTGCAAAATCACAATACTCAGATGATCATAAATGGTATTAACTCTTACAATATTTATAAAACTATCTACACATTTTTCCCTTACTTTCAGCAACCCTTAACTGTTATCTACTATACTAATAAGAGCCCAAGAGAGTTAGGCCTATAATGGGTAGAAAAAATTATTAATTATCAATAAATTAATTAAAAGAAATATTTTCATTAGTTATATTGTCTTTATTTTTCTCAAATGTAAAAATTTTTACATTCAAATTCATCAATTGATTATATTCACTACATTATCTATTATCTTTTTTGTGCACTATTTTTCTAATTAAATATCAAAGTTATAATACAAAATAATGCTATATATTTATTTACCAAGTATTTTATTAATACCATGAAAAAATTAAAAAAATATAATTAATAAAGCCAACCATATTAACTACTTGAGAGATTTTGTGACAAAGAGTATTCAAATCACACAACAAATTGAAGTGAGAACTACCTCGCAATGTCCTTGTTTGACAATCAGCGATTAGCGTTAGCGGATTATACTAGCGGATTTGACCAGCGAATTTATTCAATTATTAACATTGGGTAGAAAAAATGACCGTCAAATTATTAAATCAAATGAATGGTTCATATTGTTCAGGTTTTAATTTTTTTCTTTTAATATTTTCTAATTTATCCTTAATTATATGATTATCCATTTAACTTTTCCATTAATTCACCGTTAGTCTAATTCTAATATTAAAGTCTAATATAGAATTATAATTACACCATTAATCTAATTCTAATATTAAAGTCTTAATAGAACTTAACCACAAATCCTAATGTCGGAATCTCCTCAAACAATATTATTATATATTTAATATTTTATGCCCTAATTTTTATTTGTTCTCCCTTATGTCCCGTATTTGGTTTCAACTATACCTATACAATTATTTTATTGACAATTATAATCAATCTTGACTATATTATCTTGCATTTGTAAACTTAGAATTACCTATTTAACTCGCACGGGCTTAGCTCAATGGTTTAGTGGGTAGTATTTGGGAGAAGAGACCAAGGTTTGAACCTCGGCGGCGGCAGTGCGGGAATTATGTCCAAAGTGGGCAGATTCCTTGTGCGTATCAGCATTTGGCCCTGTCTGCTGAACCATTAAGTCACCGTGATTTACAACTTCCCACAATGCTCTGTCGGGTCGGAGTGTGGGGGGGCCTTGGGGTTGGGACTCAACCTTTGGGAGAAGAATTACCTATTTAAATACGCAAATTCAACCTTCAATTATCTATGCATGAACAATTTCAATATACTGCCTTAATATACTTTAAAGTACTTATTTAACAAAAAAGCATTGGGCATTATCCCAATCGCGCAATGCGCGTAAAAAACTAGTGTATCCAAAAGAATTGATCAGGTCACTTCTTACTTTTTACTTGGGAACATGTTGCATCTTATCCCCTAGGATTTAAGCAGAAAAGGAGTAATTTTGTGTGTGATAATTTTTTTTTTTTAATTTGTATGTTTAAAATATATAATTAATCTCCATTTATTGAATTGAGAGTGTTGTAACGACAGTTTAAAACTAGTTGAATTCGGTGTATATGTATAAAGATTTTTTTTTTTTTAGTTTCTTTTTTGATATTTTGATTTGCTTTGCAGGATATAAGAATTGAAGTTGTGAGAAATATGTAAGAGTGTGTACAATTAATTTGTATACTCATGGAAGTCGTTTGAATTTAGCTTGATTTGTATATTATTAGATATATATCATACATGTAACTAGTTGCATTTAAATTATTTTTTTTAAAGAGGAACAATTGTATTTGTATATGTATGTTATGATTAAAAAAAAAAAAAAGTCTTATATAAAATTGAATGAAAAACTATATATTTTATACCTCAACTTAAAAGTTCCAAAGTATTAGTGACATTTTGCTTTTATACAGACTAGTAATTCATCCGTACAATGCACCACATATATTATATATTTGTAAATATTAAAAATAATTAAGCTAAAATTTATACTATTTATAAATATTAAATAAGAACATTAATATATAATAAAAAATGAAGTATACAATTATAATTTGTAAATTTGTTGACAAATAGATTTAGGATTTGTTACAAACAACTTCATGATGGATTTAACAATCAAAGGATATCATCACTGTGCTAAATAGATTTTTCAATAACTTGCCTCAAAATCTAATCAATGTAATTTCTACTATCTTAGACAATTCTAATATATAGCAAGCATCATGATAGCTATTATATTGATCATCTTTAATTTAACCCTCTTTATATCTCCATGACATATAGTTGTAATATATATGTCCATCACATTTAACTGCATGATACTTAATATGTATATAGAAAAACATATTACAGAATTAAATTAAATATATAGGCATTTGACTATTATATATAGTAGTTTTATTTATTCGTATTTTTTTGAATGTTTATTTATTCGTATTTAAGTATACAAAATGTTGTTGTCCCTAGAAAGCTATAATTTTTGCCAAACAAAGCTTTATCACTCTAGAATCAAGAAAAGCTCCAAGAAAATATGCCATCGCTGATCTTGGTCGGGAGGTCACCGGAAGAACATGACCTCCGGGAACGAAGCACGAAAAAGTCTAAACACAGTCTGGAGCAATCTATAGTTGAGCCGCCCTCTCCAATGATTGATGTAGTTCACGAAACTCCAATGGAGATGCCGATTTCTTGACACCGCAATCTAGAGATTCAACTCCCGCCACGTTTGACAATCTGGTCCGTGAAGACAACACTAAAGGAGGTTCTCACTTGGCTCAAAGGTCGTGAGGTGTGATAAGCAGTAGATGATGATGTTATTAGCGCCCTATTATGGCGGCATCAATTATAATAGCTTGTATATATAACTTGTATATATACTTGGGTATCCCCTTCCCTTAAATCTTAAATAAAAAAAAAAAAAGTATACAAAATGTTGGTCAATAATTTTTTGATCATAAAAATTATTTCACTATATGTTAAAATGATTCTGGTGTTATATATAACTCATTACATCAATATAAACAAATATAATGAAATATCTTAATGCACCAAAAGAATGCCCATAACCATGGCCGGATTTTAGGCTGTGCAAGCTGGGTTACCGCACAGGGCCCCCAATTTTAGAGGGGCCCCAAATTTTATAGGTCCAATATTTAATTTTTATCTAGCTAGTTTAGAAATAAAAATTAAGAGTTTTCAATTAAACTTAAAAAGTTCTATGAAGAGATGGTAAAAATGTGTATTTATTGTATTTTAACTTGGAGGTCAAAGGTTCGAAACTTGCATGTATTGATTTTAAAAATTGTGATTTTGGTAGGGCCACATTTATTTACCAGAACAGGGCCACCAAAATTTAAAATACGGCCCTGCCCATAACATATTGCAATGGACCAAAAGAATGGCCCTAACATATGTAGAAGTTCAAAAACACAAATTTATCTAAATAAAAGCATGAATTTCCACTTCCTCAATAAAGTAAAAGAAAACTAAATAATAAACTTTTTAAGTATAAGAATCTTAACTGATGTATGTGTAGTCAAACATTTTGTATAGATTAATTAAAATTGCTAAGAAGTACATTTCTGTAGCTACTTTCTTTCTTTTTGTGTCACTTCAAATTTGGATATCAAAACATCGTATTTATTAGATTTTTTTTTCCTTTTCCTCACAAGTATGAACATATGAATTAAATCCATCAATGTGCATGGTTTGGTCTAGCATTATGCAATATACACTTTAATATTGTTTTCGCTAAAACCCCAATGATAAATTAAATCCCTTAATGTGGATTGGTTGTTTTTTCAAAAAATTATTTTGAGAATTAACTAACCGAAAAATGGGTAACCCATGGCCTGCGCGGTCGAGATGCATCCACGACGACCTCCGATCTCATAATTTGATTGATCAGACTTATTATGTTTTTAGATTATAGAAAAATGGTTAAATTTAATTTATCACACGTGGTCTTTATTTTTTAAAATCGTCTCACGAATCTTTATAAATAACAAATACTTTGTTCCTTATTAATATTACATTTTCATCTTAACCTGACACATCTCACACACAAAAATTCGTAAGACAGTCTCACTGCTTACAAGTTTTTATCTTATTTTTTAGGATTAGCCACGTGATTATATACAATATTATATATTATAATTATAATCTCAATGGATCAATAAATAATTTTGACACAATCAATAATCACTCACAGAAATTATTTTTTGTGCAAAACTTTAGAGTACAGCAGTACACGATTCATCTAAAATTTGTTTAGAAGGAAGTCCAGCATTCAGTTCCATGGAGACGCAGGTACGTGATCATGACGGACCCCTTCTTCATGGACTTGTTCAAAATCTGGAACCATTAATGGAAAATAGAATACGAATACGCTGAGACGTTTAATCTTTACTCGGTTACGTTAGGCGCCTTTATGTATATATATACTTCAACCCCAAAGCTTCTAATCATATATATCTCATCAACAATTCGATCAATTATACTTCATTCCACCATTTCTACTTCCAGATATAAATTACTACAAAAATGACGGTTGCTACTACCGAGCACGGCGGAATTGGAGGCTTCCGGCAGCCCAGGAGTGGCGGCGCCGCCACCAAACCGCGGCGGCGGCTGCGTTTGATTCCCAAGAGGGGCCAAGTGGCGACGAATGCATTGCGGACAATGTTCTCGTGTTTCCTTCCTCATCGTACGGACGACAATAAACGATGCCATTGATGACTCCGATCCGTATTAATGCTACTCAAAATGTGTATATATGTTTCCATAGGATGTGTTATAAGTTGTAACATTACAAGTAAAGATGTAAATTCTACTTGATGTTGACATGTTGTTGTGATGGTCTAATATTATTCTAGCATAAATAATACCATGATTTGTATGTTAAATATAAATATATACTAACATGAATTTAATAAAACTTAAATACGAGTAACTTGTTGACCTCATAACCGTGAAAATTTTAAGATTATCTGAATATTCTTTGACATAGCTAATATCACCGAATTGTGTATGGAATAATAAAGTTAGTCGGTTGATACGTCCCCAGCCAGCGTCTCGCCGAATCCCTCTCGCCGCGAACTTCCCTCATTGCCGTCGCCTCACCTTGATATCTCTTCCATTCCGATTGGTGCCCTACGCATGCCCCTTCCACGGAAGCATCATTTGTTGAAATTTTCAGATGCATTGGTTGATATATATATTGGAGTAAATGATAAAAGTAAATGTGAAAAGTGTGTCAAAAGATACTTTAGTTTGAAAATAACATACAAACAATGTTCTGGATAACTCAAAAGATACCTTTAAAATAACATCTCGTCATTACTCTTTATTAGCAATTGTTTTCTATAGATATGAAAAGGTTGATTGATAAATACAATGTTTGTCTAGAAATTTCTTTCCATTGGCCGGAATTTTTTTTTTTTCAAAACTTGTGGCTTTTTTATAATAATAAAAAATTCACCACAATCACAATTATCAATTATCTTGAAAAATGAAAGAAATGTCCTTAATAAAAAAAATGTATGTTAAAGATTAATGATGGGATAATGGACTCCGAACAATCAGGGGCGGACCCAGCATGGGAGCAGCGGGGTAGCTGTCTCCCTCCCCCACCATCATCCCATATATAACCCTTGTATGTATATATGTATATATAGTACAAGTTTTAGTATAAGTATAATAAAATAGATAAAAATTAACAAAAGATATATGATTGATTAGGTGGCATGGCGTGTGTTATCTTTGTAGGAGGCTAGGGCTCAAATCTGATTTTCAACATCTATGCATAAATTATACCTTTGTATTACTTAGGTGGCAAAGCATGCATGTTTAAATGTGACTTTTAAGTATTTTTATGAGATTTACACACACACACACACACACACACACATATATATATATATATATATATATATATATATATATATATAACTTTCTTTTATATTAATAATGAGATGTGTTTATAATGTACTTTTTATTCGAATTATTTTATCAAATTAATTATGTTTCATATTTTCTTATGAGTATTTTTTATAAAGTTTTGATGTGTTTTATTTTTCGTCCACACCCAACAATATTTATGGCTATACTTTTTAGAGTTTTATTTTTTATCAAATTATCTCTTTTATTTTAATAATGTATTTCGTCTCGACTAAAAAAGTTTTCTTGGTCCGCCACTGCAAACAATCCAAATGGTTTATTATAAATTTTGTTCTAAGGCATCACAAGCTAATCTGTAAATAGGATAGGGAAAATTATAATTATATCATGGACTCCGAACAATTATAATTATCACAAAATTGGATTTAGTTTCTAGGGAGAGAAAGTATGGCCCAATCTAGTTATTATTGGGCACATACTTTCTAATCTTGTTATTAGAAATCCATGATATAATTTGCCCTATCCTATTTTGGCCAATTAATTAGTTTAATATTAATTATTAGATCTATACCAATTGAATATTGTTGGGTAATTTTAATTAACCTAACCAAATCAAATATTAGTCCAATCAATTCAACATAATTATACTAATTTATCCAATAACCAACCTCCAAATGAAATCCAATAACATATATATTAGCCAATTTAAAATCAAATTTTGAATATCTACGGTCGTCTGATCTTCTCAAAACCTTAGTAATCTCAAACTTTTGATTTTTTATTTTTTATTTTTACACTCCACCTTCTGCCTGATGCTATACTTTTTTCGTGTTGCGAGAAACTTTGAGAAGAGATTTGGTTTGAAAAGGGAAAAGAGTATGGAATAAAAGGGAGAGAATATGATGAGACATGATTGGTCCTATCATTTTATAAGATTGTGGTTTTGGGCAAAGTAAATAATGAGCATCCTTAATATATTATGTGATCTAATGAGAAAATTCGCTCCTGTAAAAGTTATGGGTTAATCTCAACCGTTAATCTAGATTCTAAAGGAGATCAACAGCTGTAAAACAATGAAATATAGATAAAACACGATAAATAAATAAATGTATATAGTTTTAAATATTGTATTCGTTATTGAAAAGAATTAAAGAATAACTTTTAAGTCATGAGTTTGAATTAATGTTTAAAATATTGTATTCGATATTGAAAAGTGCTGCTAACTCTGAGGCTCAACCTCATGACCTCCCACATAAGAAAGGTCACTATATGTCATCTGAGCACAAAGTGTTTGGCAATATTTAAGAACTTTATTATTAAAAAACAAAACCATTTTCTGCAAACAATGAACTAGTGTCCCTTCAAGCATTATTTGAGACCCTATATATCTATTAATTGAGTTATTATTACAAAGGTTTGTGTTGGTTGAGAAATAATAAATTTAAAGTTATTTGTTTTTTTTTTTTTGAGAAAATAAATTTAAAGTTATGAATTTCAATTTTTTCTTTATGTAATTTTTTTAAAGCCTAGATTAGGGGCCCTTTCCAGCATTAGGTCTTGGGCAAGCACCCAACCACCCCCTCAAGGCCAGGTCTATAATGAGAGCTTTGGAGTCACTAGTACAAAAACTACCATAAAATTAAGATGAGGATAATGAATTCTTTCATTTTCTGATGTAATTTATTTATTTTTAAGAACACATGTGAAGAAGTAGATGTATCGTCAAACACTATAAGTAAAAGAAATAATATGTATATAATGTAAAAGATTAAACGACCTACAATATACATTAATACAAAAATTACAAATAGTAACTCAACCTTTTTACCTTGACCAACTTGACTTAAAAGTGAATGGATAGTATTGCAATTTAAAGTTGTTGTGAATGTGTGATGGGAGTTCACTTAGCCTAATTGTTAATGAGAATTTGTTAGTTATGTAGACATTGATGCATGTGTCAAATGAATGGTCTGCGCCTTTTCTAGTTGTTGTGAATGTGTGGTAGCAGCTAGCATCACTTTTTCTTAACCACCTTTTGTCTATAAATACTATGAATGAAATCAGTACATAATTTACCTTAATGGGGATTATTTCTCAGTTACTTTCCCTTTTAACTTCACAAAAAAATTTCCAAAAAAAAAATTAAAAACTAAAAATTAAAAAAATATTTTTCCCTAGCAAATTAAAGTAGCCCATGATCAATTAATCTAGTTAGGAATTGAAGGAGGTTACACATTGGATTTCAAGTCATTCCACAAGGAGTTGCCAAACTGAAATTTGGTATGTATTGAATTTCTTTTTCCTTTTACAGATTTTCAAAATTAAATTTATAAATATTTTGGGAATGATATTGACTTTAATTTGATGATATGAGATTACCATATTTTTGTCCATTTTACATGAAACATAATGATGGGTTTATAATTGCTTGAGGATAAACTGCAGAGATACATACAGATCAGAAGTTCTTCTATTCAATAGACCATTTTCTGAATCAAAATTAAAAACTAAGAAATAAATTAAAAATTGAACATTTTGCTTTCGATTTGACAAAGGAATTTGGATTTTCAAATTTTATAAAATAAAATTATAAGTTACATATGTATTAGGTAACCCGCCTTATAACTCTAGCTGATCTGATAAAAAACCATTGCCCATAGCTGATCAGCTCAAATCAAGGAGTCCACTCAAATCAAGGAGTCCAATAGGCCGCTTCCATTGGGATCGAACTTATTACTTTGTGGTTACCAAATCAACAGTTTCACCAACTTAACTGGGTTGCCCCTTATTTTTTTTATTTATATTCACAATTAATTGTCCAAATTATATATAGTGACTAAATGAAAGTGTATTTGAAAAAACATGCAGGAATGGAATGCTTGGTCCAACATGCAGTGGACTACAAGGGTATGCCTGCTGACAGGACTGAGACTGGCGGTTGGATATCTGCTGCTCTGATTGCTGGTATATATATATATATAAATATATATATATATATATATATATATATATATATATATATATATATATATATGTATCATACCCCATTTCAATTCACACCTACTAATTACTTTTTCCTTGTGGGATGTGAAGAACTAAGAATCTTTTTTCCTTAATTTTTCCAGTAATCCAGTTGTGTGAAGGATTTTCAACTATAGGAATATGTGTGAACCTTGTCCCATACTTGATTGGAACATTACATCTCTCAAGTCAAGTGGCTGCCAACACTGTATCCAACTTCTTGGGGGCTCTTTTCAGTCTATCTTCTCTAGGAGGAATTCTTGCTGAATCCTACTTGGGCAGATATAAAACAATTCTCATCTTTGCACTTATCCAGGGTCTAGTAAGTTCTCCATCTCTCAATTGTTATACCATGGACCAGGTTCACTTTGACTTATTATGTACCTGCAATTAACCTATTGATACAACCTCGCATTGGTTCCGCAAAAGATTGTTGAGTGGTACTTAAGTTGGGGTTAAACATTCACTCATAAGATAGCATTTGTGGTAGAGTTAGGATTTTTACTTTGCGTGTGTATCACTTGGTGCTCTTATTGAGAGATCAGGGTGTGGTGGGAAAGGGCTACCTAAAAGAGAGCTACTCGGTGCTTGATAAGGTTCAAAGGGAACAGGGAAAAGCACAGAGTGAATTGAAAACTATCCAGAGTGAAACTGACCTAGCAGAGGGGACAACTTAGGAAAGGGCTACCTAGTGTCAAGATCGAAGAGTTCGAAGTGTGAGGAATTGTCAGGAGTGAAAGTTATCCAGAGTGAAGCAAGCTTAGCAGAGAGGGCGACCTAGAAAAGGGTTACCTAGTATCAATAAAAGCTTAGCTTTTGAATTGCAATTAGAGTCTCGACTTTAGTGCCGATATTATTGTATTCCACATTTACTCCACAAGAAATTGCGGAGTGATACATAAAAATTGAGGCCAAACCTTCACTCATAAACTAACTTTTGTAGTGAAGTTAGGGTCTCAGCTTGAGTGCAATAACACGGGCCAAGCTAAGGCCTTAACTCTACCACAATACAATGCAAGGACCATAGTATAATAATCTGATCTGCTAATATATATTCTCATTTCTTGCTGAATCGTACTAACAGTATATGATTTGGGGCCTGCAGGGTACATGCTTCTTGTCTATATCAACTGCACTTCCACAGCTATGGCCACCTCCTTGTGATCTTGAGGCTGATTCATCTGCAGATTGCGAACAAGCAAGCAGACTTCAAATGGCAGCAATGTATTCATCTCTGTATCTAATGGCAGTAGGGACTGGTGGCCTCTTACCCAACATCTGTGTTTTTATCTCCGACCAATTCGACCAAAAGAACGACAAGGAAAAGGCACACCTAAGACAATTCTTCAACTGCCTCTTTTGCTTATTCGCCGTGGTGGCTCTGTTGGCTGTAACACTTCTTGTTTACATTCAAGATGAATACCAACGAAGTTGGGGCTATGGGGTTTGCTCTCTTTCAATGCTCCTTGCTATCTTCATGTTCTTGGCCGGTACAAGAAGTTACAGATACAAAAAGCTCACCAGAAGTGCCTTGGTTCCAATCCTACAAGTTCTCTTGGCTGCTATAAAGAAGAGGAAGTATCAGGTTCCTGCAAATATTGAGGTACTCTATGAAGATAATCCAGAGTCTTCCAGAATCCCTCACACTCGTCACTTCAAGTAAGTTTTCCTCCTCATGCTTTTTGGGATTAAACGTTTACCACTATACCTGTTTTCTTATATTGTCATTATTTTCGAGACCTCGGCCACCTGAAACCCTTAACTAACAATCCCTAATGATAGATCTCAATGTTGCATTATACTTACTTTCCTAACGATGGATCTCAACGCTGCATTATGCTTACTTCGGGTGACTGCTGTAAGTCAAGCACGTTTAAGTACAGAGTTCGACTATCTGTTGTCATATCCTACTTATAACCAATTGGTGATAAAGTAGGTGGACATTACTCATTTAACCACATTCTTCTATAGTAAGCCACAACACCACATGTCGAATCAAGCAGGGGCTGAACTTAACTAACCCGGCCGATGCCTAACACCCAACCCCCCTTGCTACCTGGTGCTAGACTTGTTTCCTCACCGGCCTCTCCCAACAAATCTCCTAGTGCCTGCCAGCCTTAACTGAACAGTTCTTACTCCGAGCCCTTACCACTAGTCAAAAGGTAGAAAAGATTGGACTTGACTCGCACCTCCCAACAATCTCCTAGGCACCTGGTGCTGACCTTATCCCAACAAAAGATCAGACATAGCTGATTAGCTGCAATGAGTTTTACTACATCTATAAATCTAGTAACCAAATCAAGATTTTTCACCAAATTGTGTTTTTTAATATGTCTAGGTTCTTGGACAAAGCTGCTATTCCTACAAAAGATGCCTTTGTATCATCAACCAATTCCTCAGTTCCAGATCCTTGGAAGGTGTCCTCAGTTACAAGAGTTGAGGAGGTTAAAATGATTGCCCATCTCTTACCATTTTGGGCAACAACAATCCTTTTCTGGACTGCATTTTCACAGCTGATGACCTTCTCAGTAGAACAAGCCTCCACCATGAACAGATCCATTGGGGGGGCTTTCATTGTTCCTGCTGGTTCAGTTGCCATCTTCTTTGTGCTGCCCATATTTATCACTTTAGGATTGTATGGTCCTGTTATCAAACCCATCTGGAGAAAATTGAGAGGGAAACCTGGTATGTATGTATATTAGTAATAATCAATTCCTAATGGCATTCTCACTTTAATTTCCATTACCCATCATTCAGTATCTGAAATAATATAGGTTCTATTTAGTAAAATAGTTAGCCTATCACCCAATTTTAACCACTATTAGTTCTTTGACTTCGTTAAACATCAATATGAGTGTTTGATTAATTAGCTTTTTGAGAAAGTAACAGCTAATTTATCAAACACTTTCCTACAATCAGCTAACAGTAGCACTCCCATAATGTTCCTTGCTTACAGGCCTCACAAGCTTACAGAAGATAGGGATAGGCCTGTTACTAGCTGCACTGGGCATGGCTGCAGCAGCAGTTATCGAGTCGAAAAGATTATTGGTGATGAGAGCTTCGAGTCCATCATCATCATCATCGTCATCGTCATCACCTCTACCCATTACTGTCCTCTTCCTGATCCCGCAGTTCGTGCTGGTGGGATCGGGAGCAGGGTTCATGTACAGCGGGCAGTTCAACTTGTTCATCAAGCAACACACGCGAAAAGGGATGAAAGCAATCGGCACCTGCATCTTTCTCACCACCCCGGCACTCGGCTTCTTTCTCAGCAGCTTCCTGGTGTCACTTGTCCAGAGAATCAGTACCATTCGAGGCGGCAAAGGGTGGATAGGCCACAGCATCAACAACGGCAGAATCGACTGTTTCTATGGCCTTTTAGCTGCCCTAACCTTAGCTGATTTTGAGATCTTTCTTTTCTGTGCTGCGGCGTTCAAACCACAGCAGAAAACGGAGATGGAGGGTGTTGGCAGTGGAGCTTCAGGTGTGGATAGAGATGTGAAAACCTCAACTACAGTATGATCCTTGGTAATTTTTTATTCTTCTATTTTTACCATTTTTGAGCATGCCATATTGTATGCATGTAAAGAGAGTCTTTGTTCTGGAAATTTTTGCTTTTAAAGAAAGAGGGTTGGGTAGCTTTGAGGGGAGGCACTGCACATAACTGACATAAGTTAATGTTTATATATGGTTGGGTACGGTTAGAAAACTAACTTTTTGGTGACTGGTGTACAGAATGGGATGTAATTGTAAATGGAATGGAATGATTTCAATTCATATATTTTAATCAATTTTGTACTTGCATTTACTGAGTTTAGCTAGGCAGGTATCTTTTAATTGGCCATTCATACTAACAATAGAACTAAATTGAACTCGGCCATAACGTAATTGGTTCGTCATCTAATATAAAGGTTATGACTGAAGGCAGTTTTGTGAGATTTGAATCCCACTAAAAACATGTATAGAAAAAAGATCCAATGATACTAGAAGGTTTGGATTAAATATCAGAGCAATTCCTTTTAAATTTAATCATTTCCCTCGAAATTGGATATTTAAACAGGTGCTAGAATATCCAATGAAAAAATCTAAACATTAAAGTCCTACATTTTTCATTCTTAGAATGACCAAAGCCACAATCTATCAAAATTAAGGGTATATTTTATAATTGTTAACAATGGGGCACCAAATTGACTCACTATGAATAATAGAGAAGCCAAAAATATATTTTCCCTTACCTTAAAAAGGGTTGTAATTGGTCATCCACTCACAGATGGCAATTTATATCCTGCACTAGGGCGCATATTGCATTGTGCACCCTGATGCAAAACGACGTCGTTTTAGATTTTTATTTTATTTTTTTGAAATTTTGCTATGGGTTGGCGGTTAATTTTCTTTTAAAAAAATCTCAAGTTCAAAAATGTACATAATTTTATACTAGAATACACATAATTGTATACATAAATGTACATAATTGTATAACAAAATACACATATTTTTTTAAAAAAGATAATACATATAATCTAACATAATACATAATATACATAAACTTTTAACATAATAAACATCAACTCTTAACATAATACACATAAATTTTCTGTTTCGGATGTACATAATTGTATAAAAAAGATGTACATGATTGTATAAAAAATTGTATATAATTGTATAAATAAATACACATAATTGTATAAACAAATACACATAATTGTATAAAAAATCGACATAATCACGTCAACTCCCTACATAACTTACCAAAACGACGTCGTTTTGGGGGGCGCGGGGCGCACAGTGCTACGCGCGCCGTCACTACTGGAAATTATGGAATTTCCGACCACTTGAAAGTGATCTTAAATCAAGTGAAAGTAAAAAGTGGTCGGAAATAGCAACAAAGGTTTTTCCGGATACCAGTGGTCGGAACAAGATTTTCGACTTGATTTAAGATCACTTTTAGGCGGGTCGAAAATTCCATAATTTCCAGCAGTGCGTGGTGCAGGGTATAACGATTGCTCACAGATGTACCATTGTCATGAATGTTTCGAACAAAAAGAAAAAGAAAGATAATTATTAACAAGGTTAAAATTGATTGTTACTACCTTTATAAGAATCACGAATATTTAACAAAAAAAAATAGAAAAAATAAGATAATCATTAACTCCCTGCTAACTTTGCTAAACTGACATTGATGTCGTTATTGTCATGTTAATATGACATAATGTGTCATGCCAACTCATATTCATATTTTATTATATTAATATTTAAAAATAATTAATTTAATCACTACATGTAGTGTAGTGTTTATGTACATTAAGATAAAGACTTTTGATCATATAGAGCAAATATTATGAACATACTACAAGATAAATAAAAATATGATATGTCTATAGTGTAAAGTTTATGTACATTAAACATTGTTTTTATGAACATATAGAACGGACATCATAAATCTACTATAGAGTTAATGGAAATACATATGATGTATATAGAACGGACATCATCATGGGTTGTCATTGGAGATTTTAATGACTTGCTATATCAGAATGAGAAGAGAGGGGGGAATCCGCATCCGAATCGCCTCCTACGCGGTTTTGGGGAAGCTATTGAGGACTGTGGGCTTGCTCAGTTGCCTATGACGGGATATCCGTACACATGGGAAAAGGGGAAGGGGACAGAAAACTGGATGGAGGAGAGGCTCGATAAGGTTTTGGTGACAGATGAGTGGCGTGGTGTGGTGACGGGGGCTAAGGTGATGAATCTGAGGACCCGGAAATCTGATCACTCGGCTCTCTTTCTGGGGATCCGTGAGTCCGGTGGGGGTGTTGGGCCTGGGAGGAGGGGGTTCCGATTTGAGATGGCATGGTTGCATGATGAGGGGTGCAGGAGTGTGGTAGAGCAGTCTTGGCAGGAGGGGAGGGGGCAAGGTTTACAGAATTGTATTCAGTACTGCGGGAACCGGTTAACACGATGGGGTGGGGACCGGTATCATAAGTACGAAAAACGGATCAATGAGCTGACAAGGGAACAGCAGCGACTAAGGGGGCGTACTGACCTGGCCTCGCTTTCAGAGTTCCAGCGCCTAGAACAGCTGTTAAGCTGCACTAAAGCTCAGGAGGATGCCTATTGGAGGCAGAGAGCCAAGCAACACTGGCTTAAGGAGGCGGATGCTAATACGAAGTGTTTTCACAGGTATGCCTCTCACCAAAAAAAAGAAGAATACTATTTCTAGATTGATGAATGATAATGGGGATTGGGTGGAGGGGGAGCCTATGAAAAATATTATATTGCAATATTATAACCGTATTTTCTATGCTGGAACCCCGGGGGAACTGGGGAGGGGTTTTTTGAGGGGATTGCTCCGCGAGTCACGCAGACACAGAATGAGTCTTTGCTGCGGCGTTTTGAATTGGAAGAGGTTAAGGGTGCATTGTTTGCAATGTTCCCGGATAAGGCACCAGGCCCGGATGGAATGAATCCGGGCTTCTACCAGCATTTTTGGGATGTGGTAGGGGAGGATGTGGCGAGCTTTATAATAAATTGTGTAGAGTCCTGTGATTTCCTGCCCGGGTTGACTGAAACTGATATTTTTTTGATCCCTAAGAAGAACACCCATGAGTTTGTAACTGATTTGCGCCCTATAGCCCTCAGTAATGTGGTCTATAGAGTTATGGCAAAAATGTTAGCTAACAGAATGAAGCCACTAATGGAGGGAATAATATCTGAGTCACAAAGTGCTTTTATCCCAGATAGACTGATAACGGATAATATACTATTAGCTGCGGAAGTGGGGCATTTTCTGAACAGAAAGCAGTGTGGGGTGGGGGGATGGAGTGCTCTCAAACTGGACATGGCAAAGGCATATGATCGGGTGGAATGGTCTTTTCTCCGTAAGATGATGCTGGTGTTGGGTTTTCATGGTGGTTGGGTGGAATTGATTTTGAAATGTGTCGCCACAGTTTCCTATAATATTCAGGTGAATGGTTTAAGATGTGATCCTATTATACCCACTCGTGGATTAAGGCAAGGGGATCCTTTGTCCCCGTATCTATTTATTATCTGTGCAGAGGGACTATCTTTATTATTGCAGCAGGCACATACTGTGGGATCATTACATGGATGTAGGGTAGCCAGAGGTGCCCCCCCAATCTCTCATTTATTCTTTGCGGATGATAGTCTTTTGTTTTTTAAGGGCAATGTGGAGGAAGCAATTGAGGTTAAAAGGTGCCTATCTGTGTACGAGGATCTGTCTGGGCAGGCAGTTAACTATCATAAGTCAAGTATATGCTATAGCATAAATACAAGTAATGTTGATAGGGAAAATGTGGCTCAGATTTTGGGAGTGACGCAGGCTCCGAATTTTGGCAAGTATTTAGGACTCCCCTCTTTTGTTGGAAGACACAAGAAAACAGTTTTTGCGTATGTTGAGGATAAAACCCGTCAAAGGATTGGGTCATGGAATAAAAAACTGCTGTCGCAGGCGGGTAAGGAGATTCTGTTGAAAACTGTAGCACAATCTATGCCTACGTTTTCAATGAGTGTTTTCTTGCTACCTATATCAGTGTGTACGACGATAGAGAGAATTATGAATCGGTATTGGTGGGACTCTGGAACTGACAGGCGAATACATTGGAAGGCATGGGACAAGTTGTGTATCCCTAAGAAATATGGGGGTTGGGTTTTAAAGATTTGCGTGCTTTTAATCTAGCAATGCTAGGAAAACAGGCGTGGCGAATGTTGACTAAGCCTGAATCCCTGGTGGCGCGTGTGTATAAGGCCCGTTATTTTCCAAAGGGATCTTTCTTTGATGCACAAGTGGGAAATAATCCCAGTTTCTGCTGGCGGAGCATCATGGCAGCAAAGAGTATAGTTTTTTGGTGGGGTAAGGCGCAGAATTGGTAACAGGAAATCTACACTCATATAGACCCACCCCTGGTTACAGGATGATCATGACCCTATGGTACAGACAGAAATACCAATACAGTTGCAAGGAGCCAGGGTCGCAGGTTTGATTGATCAGCAAACCGGTAATTGGGACCCCTCAATTTTAACTGATCTATTTCAACCTAGTGATGTAGCAGAGATTATGAAAATAGTCAAAATACCCATCTCCCTGGATTATGATGATACCTGGTACTGGTATGGGGAGTATTCTGTTAAGAGTGGATACAGGCTAATAGTAGGAAATTATCAAGGAAATAATGGGATATTTACAAAATGGTTACACCTATGGAAGCTCAAAATCCCACCAAAATGGAAAATGTTTCTTTGGAGAGCCATTAGTGATATATTGCATATCACTACAAACTTGCTTAAAAAGAGGGTGGATGTGGATCCACGATGTGCCATGTGTGGAATATCTCAAGAAGACACATGCATGCTTTAGTGTTGTGTGATTTTGCAAAGAACATTTGGGATAAATCTAACCTCACAATCCCCAATATAGTCACAAATGTTTTTCATGATTGGTTTGGTGAACTCTTAAATGTTCTAGACTCTGATGGGATGTTATATGCGGCAGCAATTCTTTACAA